TACTTTGCCGATATATATTTATACATAATAAAAAAATCGGGATATTTCTCTTACTAATTTACTGAGATAATAACGTACTAACTGGTTGCAAATTTCCTCCTGACAAAAATCATGTGAGAGAGTTGAGCCAGGGTATTAACCTTGAAATATGTGATACATAAGTCCTACTATCTTTAACGTGTAAACTTATTTGCATAATCATTTACACGGGTAAACTTATTTGCATAATCATTTACACGGGAGATACTTATCAAAAAAAGCCAATTTTATTAACGTGTGCGTCTATTTAGTTCGCAAAGTTTGAAACTTAAAAATATAAGCAGGATCTTTTAAACTCCCACTTATTTTCAAAAAAACCATTATAAAACCCCCTATTAATTATCGAAATTCAAATTTAATTCAATTCACTCCACTATCTATTCAAATACAATTCATAGCACTAACTATACAAATACGACCCATGTATTGTGATATCTCACATTAATTGCTTATATCGAATTTGAAGGAAGAGAATTGGTTTGCAATAATAGTGGTCACAATTATCCAATCGGTTGGCTTTATTTGTCGTGTACCTGCTTAAGGTCGTTCACTTCATGCAGTCGTAGAACCTTAAATGCATCATCCAACGAGACTAGCAATTTTAATTGAGTAAAATCAAAATCATAATTAGAATCGACAGGTCTTTGCACTGTTACACAGTCGTAGAGCCTTAGATTTGTCAATAAGTGCTACTATCTTCAGGTCGCTAAGATGAACGCAAGTCATCATCAACAATCAGCAATTCAAATTTGCAAGGTCTTTGCACTATTTACAGTCGCAGAGCCTTGTAGCCCCGAAAAAACGTGTCTACGTTTAAATGAAGTATGATAAAAAGTGAAAAAATTAGTATTTATTAAAATTGGTAATAATTATAATAAACATAATCACTTATCTGAAACTATGGAAACACTGCGGTGATTATAGAATTGACCTAAAATTTAACCAAGATCCAACCAATTTTTACAAAAACAAGTGAATTCAAAAGTTTATGCAAATTTTGCGATTTTCTGCATTTTGCAGAAAATCATCGTCCCTGGACAAATCACAATCAAAAATTGTTTAATTATTATTAAGGTTAAAATCATTTACTTAACATAAGCTTAATCTTTTAAAGCTGATACATATGTGATCTTTCACGATTTTGATTGGTTAAAAGTAACAGGTGACTATCAGGTAATGTTATGATGTGCTTGGCCTACAGCATAAATCCCTCTTGATTGTGATCGATCACAAATTAAATTACTTATGTTGAATTCAATTGTGATGGATATAATCCCTCACCAGTTTTAATATATGTGCAATATTAATGGTCTTTGCTGTATAAACAGCTTCGTGTAATTTTTCTTTTACATTATCTCCATTTTTTATTATGCAAATCGCCTTTTATTTATAATTAAAAAACGTCATTCACAAAATTTACATGAATCCAATAAAAGCTCATTTTTTAAACAATTTGCAGAATGGACCTTTTTAATGTGAAACTCCTCATATAAGTATCATTCGTAATTATTTGCATCAAATACCTAGCATTTAGGTTGCTATCATAAAATATCAATATACCGTATTTATCTGACATGTGTACCCGGGGTATTTCCCTAGCTCGTTTTAGTACCCGGGGTACTTGGATCAGGGGGGTATATTGTATAGGCTTTACTTATTTGTGCCGGTAATACAAACTCCTAAAAAGGAAATAGCCAATCAGTGAATTCAAATTTTGATCG